GGCCGCCGGGACGTGCACCCAGAAGGCGGTGGGCCCGGTCCGGGGTGGGGGCGCCGCGGACTCCGGCCGGGAGAACGCCTACCTGAGATCTTCTCCATCTCTTCCAGCAGCTTCTCCAGGTCCTTGTTGAGGTCCGACAGCATCCGCAGCATGTCGTCGTAGCGCCTCTCCTCGGCCGCAGGTTCCGCCATCTGGGGGGCGCGGGCGGCTGAGCGGCGGCCCTGGGCGTCCAGGCCTGAGGGCTCCCTTACTGCTTTCTCCCCTCACCAGGAGGGACCCCGAGATGTGCCACTTTGTTTGCTCGCTGGGGTAGTGGCTGGGAGGCGCGGGGGACGGAGCCCGTGGGCCCCCAGAGGCTCTGCGGCTTCCCCCGCGGCTTCCCCCTCTCCACGCCTGGGGGGCCGGCCCCACCCACACCCCGGGGTCCTGTGGACACTGCCCCCCCACCCCCGGGGTCCTGTGGACACTGCCCCCCACCCCCGGGGTCCTGTGCACACTGCCCCCCCACATCCCCGGGGTCCTGTGGACACTGCCCCCCCACCCCCGGGGTCCTGTGCACACTGCCCACCCACACCCCGGGGTCCTGTGGACACTGCCCCCCCACATCCCCGGGGTCCTGTGGACACTGCCCCCCCACCCCCGGGGTCCTGTGCACACTGCCCACCCACACCCCGGGGTCCTGTGGACACTGCCCCCCCCCCCCGGGGTCCTGTGCACACTGCCCCCCCCCACCCCCGGAGTGCTGTGGCTCCAGGCAGAATGTGTCCGGGAGGCAGATCATGAGGCAGCGCAAACCCCACCAAGTCGCAGCACCGCCACTTTCCGAGGGCGACGCGGGGAGGACACCTGTCCGGCAGGGGCGGCCTGCCCGCGGCCTGCGCGGCTCCGTCCGTGCCTGCCCCGCCCGCCCGGCGGCCTTGCCGTCGTGGAGAGCACAAAGCGGGGTCACCCTGGAAGGGTCCGCATCGAGGTGTGGCCGGGAGCGGCCGGGGGGCCGCTGGCTGGTGACCCCGAAGGGCCCCAGAGCCGGCCGGCGGAGCCTTCTGACCAGACTGAAACCCCGACTGGGGGGTCGGCCGCACCCACGGCCAGGCTGCCAGCGGACGGCCAGGCTCGCTGCCCCCGTGACCGGCC